AATAAATATATTTGTGTGACTCAAAAACAAATTGATTAAAAATTATTATATCAAATTTTATATATATATACATATATACACACATATATATATATATATATATATATATATATATATATATATATATATTATAAAATAGAACAAAATAAAAAGAAAATGCAAAATTTCAATTTCAAGGTAATTTGTTGTTTTTTTTTTTTAAATGGAAGAAGCAAACTCCGTTTTAGTTCAAACTCAATTACTTCCCTTGTTTACTGCTTAATTTTTCTCCTTGTTACGCTATTTTCAAAAATTATTCATTTTTTAATCATTATAATTTCTTTTTACAATAAATAAAACCCATTGCCGATAGGAGAAGTTAAAATGAAAAAAAATGTGAAACGCTATGGAAACGAATTTAGTTATGTTTAATAGACGAAGAGTGGACCGTAATCGTTAAATACAGGGGCCACTTTGATATGGTGTAAAAATGGTTAGCAAGATTGGCTCGCTAAATCAAATACGACTAAATAGTGAGCACGATCCTCACTGGGTGCTCCATACATTCGGCCTTGTGCCACATCTAAGATACGCTTAGTAAGTGGCCATAATCTTCAAAGACAGATTTGGCAGTAATGGATGCAAGATTTAATGGATGCAAAACTTAATGGATCCAAGATTTAATGGGTGCAAGATTTAATGGGTGCAAGATTTAATGGATCCAAAAATTAAATCTTTACAAAATATCTCTTAATTTATTCTTATTTTGTCGTTTATTCGATAAATATTAGAAACAGAAAGTCATTCTGAGATTTGAAAATTACTTTTTGATAATGAAGAAAAAATTCCTACTCTGCAGTGATTTGTTTTTTCTTTTCACTTAATTAAATAGTCCTCGCCAGTGGTAATGAATGTTCGTTTCATTCATTGATTCGTTTTTTACAGTTTATCAACTCTTTCCGGTTATTTAAAGCCATAAAATATTTTTAGATTGTAAGATTTTTTTTAGATAATAATGGTTTAGCGATACAAGTCTTACTAATTAATCCATAGCTGGGGGAAGAGGTAGTTTCAGGGAATTGGAACACGGCTCTCCGATTAACAATTCCGAGCTGTTACCCATTTACACCATCCGTACATCACAGCTTACAGCAACCAGTATTGCCGAACGGTTATTCATCTACATACTGACCAGGCTCGACGTTGCTTAACTTTAGGGACCGTACAGGAACCAGTGTTCCAACATGATCGGGTCATAAACCACGAAAGTTCGTGCGATGACACAGTTATATCTTAGAGCAAAAGAAAGAAAAGGGATCGTGTTGCTTTTTTTTATAGTCTTTAAACAGCGCCACTTAGCGGTGTCTTGGTACACCAAGCGGAGGTAATCCTCTACAACACATACTCTCTCACTCTCTTGTTTTATCTACTTCAATCTGTTTTTACTTTACATGGGGACTGGATAATTTTTGTCCTGGACTCATATGTGCGCGTATGGATTCCCCACATAAAAATGAACTTTGTGTTCTGTTTTAGCGGAGAGGTCAGGTAGATAAATTTTACTGCCTATTCAGATTTGAAGATTAAAGTATTTTTTTTTTTTTATTTATTTATTTTTTTGTGTGTGTGAGAGATTAAATGCGATTTTTCTTCCATATTTTAAATTAAAATTAAAAATGGAGATAAAAAAAAAACTGGTAACTTACTTTAAGAAGCTTCGCTGATGCTGAGAGGACTGGAAGCTCAACTGTAAACATAAAGGAAAATTAATTTAATATGCGATACACATTGACAGTGTTGGTAAAGCGGAATTGAACACCTAACAATTTTGCCAAAAGCATAAACAAAGTTCATTTTATGTCTTAAAATAATTGTCGGATTTTGTCCATTTCATAATGTGTGACGTCATTTGTTTACATTTGGATACGCATCGAGCAGATATGAATGTACAAGAGAAAATCATGGAGATTTGTAGTTTAAAGACAGTAAAATCGACCTTGCTAACCGAAACGCTCCTCTGTAGCTAAATCGGTAAAGTACGCCAGGCTATATGACGGTTCCGTATAGGATACAGGTTCGATTCCTGTCGGAGGACACATATTTTTTATGAAAATTTCTCGGACATTCAGGCCGGTAAACGTTGTTAATACTGTTTATAAAAAGAGCATTTACTTAAATATTTGTATCTATAAAAAGAACGTATAAACATAAATATATATGTGTGTGTGTGTGTAAAATGAGAACATTCCGACAATTCCGACATTCGTAATATTCAATTTAAATGAGGGATCAATACAAATGTTTTTCCCCTTACTTTGAACTTAGCATAGGCCATTCTGATTGGTTGATTTAAATAAAAACAAAACAAACCCTGTCGCTATCTCCCCCCCCCCTTTTCTTTCTTATTCTTTTTCTTATTCTTCCTTTTCTCGGGAAAAGAGACTTATGTTGTTTTTAAATCTCAATAAATTGTTTACTCACCAGTTATTTACTAACGCCTAATGAGATGTATTAATACGCATCGAAACATGATTGCATTTCTGTAGCGTTCTTACATGTTTTGATGTACTATCCTAAAATAAAGATATATATATATATATATATATATATATATATATATATATATATATATATTGTAATGGAATGTCCCACACATGCTATCGCCTATGTTGACTGACTATATAAGTAGCTATATATAGTGAGCACAGGATATACCTGGGGGCTTGCTTCAGGAATTACTAGCCTGCCACTGGATTCCCTGTCTTTCAGTAGTGTATTCTCTTTTACAATAAACCTCTCTTTCATCTATGCGCGTGTTGCTGTTCCTTCACTCGAGTACCACCTTTGTCTGTTTATAACCTCTTTAAGGATACAATATATATATATATATATATATATATATATATATATATATATAAAAAGAACAATGAGAAAGAACAGATGGAGTAAAAATCCATTGTTCGTAGCATTTACTTTTTAAAAAGTGCTCAGTACAAAGTAGAGCAATATATTATTACTATATTTTTTTTTAAAAGAGATTATAATAAAAAAAAACATGTTCAAATCGCTACACAAATGCTTTCATGTTTCAACTGGTGATTGTACTTCTTCAGGCCATGGTAAGTAAGTGGTGATTAAATGATTTTTAAGGTAATTTAAAAACAATGTGTTACCACTTTTCCGAAAGTTAAAGGGAGTGACACATAACCTCTTTAAGGATACAACATATATTACAACAGGATTAAGAATAGACTTGATCAGTTAATTGGTTAATCATATATAAACGCCATACCTATCGCCACAGCGCTCAATTATTACGATGCATTACTGTTCAGTAGCTTAATTAATAAATAATAAATAATAAAGCCGAACAAGATTATCCACTCAGTATCTGTCTATATTTCTGAGATGAGGTATTATGTACACTATTTACATTATTCGGACTATATTTATTACAACGTTTCGGCCCTTCAGTATCTGTCTATATTTCTGAGATGAGGTATTATGTACACTATTTACATTATTCGGACTATATTTATTACAACGTTTCGGCCCTTCAGTATCTGTCTATATTTCTGAGATGAGGTATTATGTACATTATTCGGACTATTTTATTACAACGTTTCGGATCTATATTTATTACAACACTATTTACATTATTCGGACTATATTTATTACAACGTTTCAGCCCTTCAGTATCTGTCTATATTTCTGAGATGAGGTATTATGTACACTATTTACATTATTCGGACTATATTTATTACAACGTTTCGGCCCTTCAGTATCTGTCTATATTTCTGAGATGAGGTATTATGTACACTATTTACATTATTCGGACTATATTTATTACAACGTTTCGGCCCTTCAGTATCTGTCTATATTTCTGAGATGAGGTATTATGTACACTATTTACATTATTCGGACTTATTTATTACAACGTTTCATTCAGTATCTGTCTATATTTCTGAGATGAGGTATTATGTACACTATTTACATTATTCGGACTATATTTATTACAACGTTTCGGCCCTTCAGTATCTGTCTATATTTCTGAGATGAGGTATTATGTACACTATTTACATTATTCGGACTATATTTATTACAACGTTTCGGCCGTTTTACGCTCTGTCCTTCTTCAGGTGGTTGGAATATCGAACTGAACCCATTATTTTGCTCGTTCGAGTAGAATGTTCTAGTGCCAGGTTTAATGGATGTCAGTTATCAGTTATCTCCTGTTAATTCACTGCCTTAAACGGGTATTGAACTGACACTTTTTGGGTCCTGTCACTGGATCTAACCAACGCCTTTATCCATTGTGCTATGTGTGTATGAATTTCTGGGTATTATAAACCTAATGTCTTCAGCGACCATTTTTATCAGGACGATTTTTTTTTGTATGATCACGAGTTTCCCTTTCTTAACGGGATGATGGCAGCAGTTATCTAAATCTTTCTTGATTCCGAATGATTTCAGCTAAATCTATTAGTCAGAAGCCCAGAAAAGAAAGCACTTGTGCGCATGCAAGAAAATATAATAAAACTTAACAAAAGTACCATGTCGTATGTGAATATTCGCCCATTTTTTTTTTTATTCGAAGAAACAATCTCTCATTCCATGACGACAGGTAGAACTTTTTGTCTTGTTTTCGCTCTTATTTACTCTCTCTCTCTCTCTCTCTCTCTCTCTCTCTCTCTCTCTCTCTCTCTCGTTTTCTCAACACTATCCGCCATTTTGCACCGTCGATCGCCTTCACTGAGCGAGCCCCCATTTTTCTCCCGAATTGAGGGGTCGTTCAAGGGCTCCTTCCTCGAAGCAAGTCCTAGCAACAAAGCAAAAGGGGAGAAAAAAAGAAATGTCGACCTCTTCGTGAACCCGAAAAACTTATTCATTGTAGAACAGAGAAAGAAAGACAAAGAAGAAAAAAAAGGTCACTTTGGAAAAGAAAGGAAATGCGGCTTAGAGCGAAATGGGGAAGGGTAAAATGATGTGAGGAGGGGATAGGCTGCTGGTATATGACCTGATTAAGGGATAACGCGTCGGTGGGTGGGGAGAGTGGCACAGAAGGAGGTAAAGACCAATCGTCCGTCCTGCAGGAAGTGGGGTAAGCCTAGCAGGAGAGACGCGCCCCTTTACTTTAACGGGTCTCAGGACGACTAACCCCCGAATGGGGATTCTGCCTGTTTTATGGGTGAGCGCCGGGAGAGACAGAAAAAGACCTTGTGCACGTTGAAGCAGATTTTATCGGGGATATTTTGACAAAAAAAAAAAGAGGAGGAGAAACCTTGACAGTGACATGGGCAGTGCGGAGAACAAGAAAACAAACGGTTGCACAAACAGTATTTGACTAAGCTCAGAATTTTAAAAAGTGAAATAAAAAAAAAAATGAGATTTTAGAAGGAAAGAGAAAAGAGGGTAAGGACATTGATGAAAGCATGAGAAGGGAGTTAGAGAAGGAAAAAAGAAAAAGAAAAAAAGAAAAAATAGGAAAAAGAAGCAAAATAGAAAAAAAATAAAGTACTACTTAAATATAGCGGTCCATTCGTTAAAAAAAGAAAAAGAAAAGATTTTTATATAATTTTTGTACATTAACTTTTTTTTCGGGATCTTATCTGTTAATTCACCCCAAATAATGTAAAGTTACTTAACTCAACTATTAATTCACAACAAGAACTTTACAAATTAAAGTTTGTTTTTTAATAAAATTTTCTAGCACTCTTGAAATTATAAATCAAAATTTGTTTGTTGCCCAGAGTCTCGCCCCACCATCGAAAATTTGATACGCACCCAACTCTCTTTACTACATTTCAAAGTTTCCCAACATTGCAGCCATAAACCCTCGAAGGAAAATTGGGTGTGGAAAGGGCTGCGCTTTTTTTAAATTACCAAAAATCAGCATGTTTTGGTAATGTCTTATATTATGATCCCCCCCCCCAGATTGAGATAGATAGATATAGATAGATAGATAGATATGAACAGATTGAGATAGATAGATAGATAGATAGATAGATAGATAGATAGATAGATAGATAGATAGTGAACAGATTGATATAGACAGATATGAACAGATTAGATAGATAGATAGATAGATAGATAGATAGATAGATATGAACAGATTGAGATAGATAGATAGATAGATAGATAGATAGATAGATAGATAGATAGATAGATAATGAACAGATTGATATAGATATGAACAGATTAGATAGATAGATAGATAGATAGATAGATAGATAGATAGATAGATAGATAGATATGAACAGATTGAGATAGATAGATAGATAGATAGATAGATAGATAGATAGATAGATAATGAACAGATTGATATAGACAGATATGAACAGATTAGATAGATAGATAGATAGATAGATAGATAGATAGATAGATAGATAGATATGAACAGATTGAGATAGATAGATAGATAGATAGATAGATAGATAGATAGATAGATAGATAGATAGATAATGAACAGATTGATATAGACAGATATGAACAGATTGATAGATAGATAGATAGATAGATGATAGATAGAACAGATTAGATAGATAGATAGATAGATAGATAGATAGATAGATAGATAATGATTGATATAGACAGATATGAACAGATTAGATAGATAGATAGATAGATAGATAGATAGATAGAACAGATTGAGATAGATAGATAGATAGATAGATAGATAGATAGATAGATAGATAGATAGATTTAATGATATATAGACAGATATGAACAGATTAGATAGATAGATAGATAGATAGATAGATAGATAGATAGATAGATAGATAGATAGATAGATAGATAGATAGATATGAACAGATTGAGATAGATATATAGATAGAGAGACTGAGAACACAAAATAATTATTTAATTAAAAATTCATTTAAAAAAACATCAAATAAACGCTTCATTTGAATCAAAAATTAAATAATCAGAAATTAAAAGGATAGGAAAAGACTAGGATTACTGATTTTATAAGAATTTCATTTCACATGTTTTAGTAATCCCGTAATGTGTTAAAGTATGACCATGCAAAAAGCCCCTCACCCCAATCCGAAATCCTTTTAAGGGTATAAGGTGGGATCCGATTATTCTGAGAATTGCGGAGAGGCTAAATGTAGAAGCCCAGATGGCGCAGTATGAAATTTGGAGGTTGTGGTGGGATTGGGCATGCACTGTGAGGAATACAGCGAGGTCTTAAAAGGCAAAGAAAGAAAAGAAACGGGATAGTAAATAATTAAAAGGAGAATCCCTTTTGGCAGGTCGGACAGTGGTGATAGAACACACACAAACACACACACACATCGTAACGTAAGAGGATAGGTTTATTTGCAGTCCGGTAAGGATGGATAATTGTTCCGAAGAATGGTAGCCAGAACGATGGTGAAAAATAAATCCCAAAGTTATGGACTGCTATGAAATGCCAAGTATACATTTATGAACCCAAATCAAGGAATGAATAATTTTCTATCATGTCTGCTTTTTATCTATCGGTATGCACGCATGTATGCGTACAAATGTACAGGTTGCACCCATAAATATCTTATAGGTTTAAAGTTAATAATATATATATATATATATATATATATATATATATATATATATAATGAAATGGATAAAGTCCGACAATTATTTTAAGACATTTTTTATGTATATACGTTCTTTTATAGATCCAAATATTTAAGTAAATGCTCTGTTTATAATGTCGTTAATACTAATATATATATATATATATATATATATATATATATATATATATATATATATATATATATATATATATATATATAGGGAGGCACGGTGGAGTAATGGATAACAGCTCGGGTTGAGGAATCGGAAAGCTGAGTTTGAATTCAGTCAAATCCATTATATTCACTTACGTGCTAAACGTGTATAACGCAGGGTGCATAACTGAGTGTTAGTCACTTATACATCATGCGTGAAATATATATATATATATATATATATATATATATATATATATATATATATATTACATGCCACTTGATTCCTTGGGGAACATATGGCCGCAGCAAGACCTCTGCCGGACGATCCTCTTCAGTTCCGCTCATGTCTTGTTGGCTGCCTTCCCCTTTGCATCAACACTTCTGCACCAAGTCTTTTTTAGTCGACCCACTCTTTGCTTCCCTTGTGGATTCCAATCAAAGATCTTCCTGGTGACACTAGAAGCAGACTTGTGGAGTGTGTGGTCTATCCATCCCCATTTCCATTTCTTAATGTCAATCTCGATTAGGGCTTTCCTGGTTCTGTCCCATAGACGACTTCCGGTCACCTGATGTTCCTGAGACATCGGTTGGTAAATGTCTGAAGGTTGTGGGTGTTGGTTACCCGCCAGGTTTCGGTATCGTAAAGTAGGACCCCACCCTGATGTTGGTGTTATCGACTGGTTACCGATTAATCGGACAATTACTTCGTCATGTATTACAGTAACAAATTCAGACTATTTTTCGAAAGAGCGTCCGAATTATCTGTAATTCTTTTTCTTTGTTTTTATTATAGCATCTTCCCGAGTTTATTTATGCTAAAAGAAGTTTAATACTGTTTATGTATCCCAGACCTGTTGCTTGGTCATCTACGGAGCTAGATTAATTATTAAGCAAAATAAATATATACTTAAAGCCCCATGCAGGTCAGGGTATATAATAAAAAGACACCAGATTGTTAGGGACTAAAATCATATTTGCAATAAAATGTACCCTACTTTGCCTAGCTCTTGAGAGGGATTCAAATAACCGAGTTAGAAAAACGGGATTATCGAGTCAATTCAGAGTTTTTCTTCTTCTAGACTGGTTGCCACCCAAGCTATAGAACCCAGTATGTCTGGCTATTTACAATATTTATTTCTGTAAAATATACAGAAAATGTGGCACAAGGCCTAAAAAAAGGGGGAATTGGGAAAAAGGACGGTCTTCATCTGTCTTAATTTTAAACTTAGCTAGCCACAAGCACTGACCCAAACATACGAACAATATACCTAACACTAAAACAACACATTCTTACTAAACTCTCTTACTACAACCACCATAATAACCCATTGTCTCAATGAAAAAACCTAAATAGTCCCCATATGCACAAATCGTCGTATTGGGGGAGGGGATAAAAAAAAGAGAGAAAGAAAGAGTTGGATGTATACCTTTCCCAAAAGGTATTAATACATAAGTGAATGTCATTAACTCGACTGGAATTCGAATTCGGCTTTTCGTTTCTTCAATTCATTACTCTAGAATTCAGCCGCCATTATTATTACTAATTTAAATTTATTCTATGCCTAAGATAACTGATGATTCTTAAGCCAGCGATAACATTTTTCTGGTATATTATAAAGAAAGAAAGGCAAGCAAACAAGAAAACTGAATAATCCGGTCCACGGGTGGGGAGGCTGATGGCTGATTAACTAGCAAATGATCGATTACCTAATCAGTGAGTGGTTGTCTATGTGTCTACGTACGTAGGTTTATTGCTCGAACTATCTCTGTCAGTTTCTTCTTTTCTAAAAACTGAATAAATAAATAAATAACTACGCATCCTTCACACCACCCTCACCCCCCCTCTCTCTCTTTCTCTCTCAAATCGATTTGGCTTGAGATTTTTCAAAAACAGTCTCCCATGATAAAAAAAATCAGAATGTACTTCAAGGGAGTTAACTTACCTGAACAAACAAGAGTTATCTCCCTTATAATGATACGTCTCTCATAAATGGATTATTGCTGGCTTTGTCAACTGTACAGGGAGATAATTACCTTTCACACGCAAATTTTAAAAGATGATCTTTAATTTTTTTTTTTTTTAATTTTCGTTCTTTCATTCGCTTTTTATTATTCTATTCTTATTTTCATTCGATGAAAACATACTTTTGTTTGTTTTGACAAAGAAATAATTTTAATTTTTTGTGGAAAGAGAAAAGACGCCTTCAAATTTTAAGTAAATCTAAATCATTCATCTGCGCCTTTTAGTTTTAAACAATGAAAATAATAATAGCAACTTTTAATTTGATTTAAAATATAATTTGGTAAGTTTAGCTTAGTTTGGCACAAGGTTATAATAAGAGCGCACCGTATGATAAGATTACGGATTTCCTCTACGTCAACGCAACATTTTAAGCCTGGCGCAACATTTTTGCCATTTCCACGTTGGTTGTTCATTGTTTCGTTCCACTAGTTCAGATCTTTACGACTATGGCACACAACGATACTTCTAAAGTGTCAAATCACCGTTATTTCTGGTGTGTGTACAAAAGAAGTTCTACTTTGAAGGCTTTTTACCAAGAACTGCCGCAATGGTGTTTTCCTGAATGCTGCAATCTCAACTTCTTCAAGTCAAGGATCAAACGTTGTCTACCATCCTTATCCTCATAGTCTTCACTCCTTTCATATCACACATCACATTCATTGTTAACATTTCACTCTAGCTCGAATGGCTTTCGAGCCTAATGCTGGTATATATATAAAAAAGAAAACAGGTTTCCTTTGATTCCTCACTAAAGTGAGGAAACAGAGGGTGAAGCGTAAGTAGGAGAAAGAGAGGAGGGATGAAAAAGAGAGAGAATGAAAAAGAGAGGAAATGAAAAAGAGAGAGAGAGCGCGAATGACAAAGAGAGGGAATGAAAAAAATTCATCTCCTGGTATTGGTGCATCAACAATGTTCAACTGTTGCATTCCTACTTGCTGAAATTGTTGCAAAAATTAGTTTTTCGATGCTAGATTTTAACCCAAACACCCGAGTCATGTTCTTAAATAGCCTCGCCAAATCGAAACTTTCATATGGATGTTATACATGGAGTCAAACTTCTTCAGAAATATCTAAACTATCAACTCTATACAACCGCATCCTAAGATCAATGTTTTAAAATGGCTTCGAACAGTAACACAAAAAACTGTACCAGGTTACAGAAACCACATCACTTGAGGACTTTAGCAACAACAACAACTAAAATGGTTATCACATGTACCGTATATGCCGATGTACAAGGCGACCGGCCATACAAAACGAGCCAAAAATTTTAAGTTAAGTCGGGCTATATTCGCAGTACAAATCGTTTTTAAAATGTACTGAATTTATTAAATAAATTTAGCAAGTATATATTCTTACTTTTCACTCAAATTCTGGAAAAAAAAAACGGTGTGGCGATATAGTCAATTAACTACCAGACTCTACAATACGTCATGAGTGAGTGCTGTGTTTTCGGTAGGCTATTACGGTAGCCTGAATGACGTTTTTCCTTGCTAACCATCCACGCGTTCCAATGTTCTCGAATGCGATTTTTAAACAGCTTGTTGAGACACATATCTAGTTGTGTTTTTGTTCAACATCATCGAAAACAGGAGGTCAGATATTGTTAATTACCACAATCTATACTTATCGTTAACCCAACCATAATAATGTGAATTACATTATTTCAGAATCTGCAATGTTATGGCATCTCAGGTTCAACCACGTAGCTTCCCTATGCTTTTTCTATAAATATTTTCATGGTAATTGTTCTGATGAACTTTCATCTTCACAGACAAATTGTACATATGAGAACTAGTTAGGACTTCTATAGAGACTTACAGGTATTGTGGTGACTGTAGTAAGAATGGGTTGTTTTGGTTTAAGGAATACTCTGGTATATTTGGATCAGTAATCATGGCTAGCTAAGTTTAAGATAAGACAGTCTGAAGACCAGTCTTCCCTTATCCCTCCAACATTTGGACTTGTGCCACATTTTTGTATTATTCAAAATAAATACTGCTCTCCTCTTTGGTACATCGACCGCGTGAATTTAAACGTTCTACTAGATTGGAAATTAGGTCTCATCGTTTTACTTTGGAATGTAAGTTCTATTC